ATGGTTTGACTCTTTAGGGTATTACCTAGAAGGAAAATGGCAAATGTGACCACTTACAAGTACGGAGGTGTAGAATGGAATTGCGAGCCATGGGTTGGTGCAGGCTCCATGGGAATCGGGCGGGGAGATAATCCCCTCAACTTTACTCTTCCTCTTCTTCTCCTTCAAATAGCGGTCGTCTCTTTAATTTCAGCCTTTTTTCAGTTTCTTCTCCGGCCTTTCGGGAAATTTGCATTCCTCACTCAGATCTTGGTATACACCTAATTGGTTATGCTATATCACATTTTTCTTGACCGCGAAATTCCTAGTTAAAACGTAGACTAATCCCAAAAAACATGCATGCAGGGTGGGATTTGCTTAGGACCGTCGGTTATAGGACGTAACAAAGAGTACATGTCGACATTTTTCTACACGAGGAGCATGTTCATAATTGAATCCTACGAGGCCTTATGTTTCCTCTTCATTTGCTACATCACGACATGTCAAGTAGACACGAGGATGATAAAGAGAGTAGGCAAGTTAGCATTCATAAACGGCATTTTACTCTTCCTCATACCATTCACGTGTGGCCAATTTGCGGCCATCTTGATATCCAAGAGGCTCGGAGGCGGCCCCTCAGGAATCCCTCCTGTGGAGTTTCGCCACGTGGCGATCGTGCAGTCCACAATGTTCTTTCAGGTGGTTTATGGAGTGTTGTCGAGCCTGAAGATGTTAAACACTGAGCCAGGGAGGTTAGCACTTGCCTCCATGATGGTGCATGACTGCCTCTCATGGTGCTTTTTCATGCTTAACATTGCTATTAAACTTAACGTTGACTTGGCCGATAAAAATCGCGCATTTTACATGACCGTTTTACAGGTACGTGTATATATATATATATTAATCCTTTTTTTTGGAATATAAATTTAGTTCTTACTATAAAAACATATTTTTACTCTATAAATTTTTACTAAGTGTTTTTTCTTTTAATTTTTTTACAAAGTTAGAAAATGAAAATCCTGATAAAATGCTTGAATCCAGTGATAATTTACGTAAAACTTATGTTTATATATACGATAAACTATGTACAATCCATATGCATGTTTTATATTAGGTGACTTTAATTAGTTTCTATATATATTCCTCTCTATGCTATTTTTAAGTGTTATAAAGTTCGGAAATTTATGCAGATGGTAATGATAGGGGCAATAGTATATGTGTTCCGACCAATAATGCAGTGGATGAAGAAGAGAACACCTGAAGGACACTCTCTCAAGGCCTCATATCTCTCCGTTATATGTGTCTTTCTCTTTATCTCTGCTCTTTGGGCCGAATTTGTCGGCTTACCTTACTTCTTTGGTGCGGTCGTCTTGGGTCTAGCCACTCCAAAACGTCCGCCTCTAGGCACAGGACTTTCAGACAAAATGGGTTTGTTTGTCTGGTCTGTCTTGATGCCTTGCTACATCATTGGGATTGGCTACAATTTGGATCTCTCGCTATTTTCCTTGAGAGATGTTATCCGTTTTGAGCTACTTTTTAGCGTGGTCCGGTTTGCCAAAATGATAGCGATTGCCTTGCCTTCCCTTTACTATAATGTGCCACTTTGGCACGCCATTCTTGTTGGGTTTATCGTCAATATCCAAGGAATTTATGACGTTCAGATCTACAAACAGAACTTCAATTACACGGTAAATCCCGCACAATGTTAAATAAATTCTATATATGCATTTCGAGGATGTCATGTGAATATCTCATTTCTCATTGGCATATTTCATTGTGTATTTTGAAACATACTTACCCCATGATTTTATATAAAACAAAAATATTTGTTCATGAGAAGATAAATGATTGTTCAAGGGCTGCAGAAAATATCAAGCAAATCTTTTGGAGCAATGGTGATGTCAGCAATGGTAAATTCAACATTTTACATAGTGTTAGTCAAGAAAATTTACCAAACCATGAGCAAACGGAACCCTTACAAGAGACGTACGATACAACACTGCCGAGTCGAGGCTCCGTTGAGGATCCTCGCTTGTTTCCGGCAACGCGAGGCGGTCCGTCCGGTGCTCGACCTCGTGGAACTCTCTCGTCCGGCCATCGGATCTCCTCTCTCCGTGTTCGCCGTGAATCTAGAAGAGCTAAATAACCATAGTCTTCCTCTTTTTATTCATCACACGCAAGAGATAAGTCCCTTTATCGTGCCTAGCCGAAGAGACCAGATCGTTAAGGCCTTCCACAACTACGAGAAGAACAATGTGGTAAACCTATCTGCATGTAAATTCCGTAAGGGCCAAGAAAAAGATAAAAATAAGATTCATTAACTAATGCTTTCTTTTCGATTTGTTTTGTGGTTGGTCAGGAGACCGTATTGATAGAGTGCTTCACGGCGGTAGCGCCGCGGAAGACGATGCATGAAGACGTGTGCTCTATTGCCTTTGACCAGGAGACAGATCTTGTGATCCTAACTCTTGATGCCGGGATCGAGTCGTGGGAGAGGCGGTTGTGTAGGAATCTCCTGCAAAACTGTCCGTGCTCCACAGCGCTTTTCATCGATCGAGGAAGGCTCCCAGATTTCAGGTTCGTCCCAATAAAAAAGCTTAGCATCAGTGTCTGTGCTATCTTCATAGGTGGACCAGATGACCGAGAGATGCTTGCGTATGCTACACGCTTAGCGAACCATCCGAGCGTCGAGCTTAGTGTCTTCCGGCTCGTGGACCAGAACGGAGTCTCACCGCTCAGAGACATGGTCGAGAGAAAACACGACATGAGGGTCATCAACGTGTTCCGCAAAGAGAGTTCCGACAAAAACATCATCTTCAGAGAGGTAATTAATGAAAACCCTTTTGTCTCCCTTTCGACGTAACTTTCTCTTTCTCTGTTTTAACCGAAAACAGAGGTTTTTCATATCATAACTCAATGTATTCCTCTGTTTGTGCCATTTTAAAGGTAAGAATAGAGATAGCTGTGGATCTACTGGAGTTGCTAAGGAAGGAAGGAGATGACTTCGATCTGATGATGGTCGGGATAAGACACGAAGAAGATCTACTGATGTTAGAAGGATTGTCAGAATGGAGCGATATGAAGGAGTTAGGGGATGTTGGAGATGTCTTGATCTCCAAAGATCTCGAGCTCTCTGTTTCTGTTCTCGCAGTCCAGCAATGAGCGGCCGATTTTATGGATTTTTGTATAGCCTTTTGTTTACTTTGTAGAATGTAAATAATATCTTATACACTACCATCGAATAATCTCTTTTTTTTTTATCATTGGAATTATAATTAAGCCAAAAAATGGGTTCTGTACTATGATGGGCATGAAGCAAACACCAAAATAAGAGTGCTATGATGTAAATAAAAAAAACGTTAAGAGTGTTAAATTTAAAATATGGACCAAAGGTGCGGTGGTTACACAAGGGATTGGTTTTTTTGTGCCCCGGGTTCACACCCCCTTATGTACGGAGGGTTATTCTTTAAACCGGAATATCTAAAGGCTGACTCCGGGTACCGAGGGATTATGAGCCAAAGTTTCGGAACTCCCACGGTTTATAAAAAAAAAATTTACATATTGAATAGGGATTATTTGCTAGAAATACAACAAAAAAAACTATAATATACAAACTAACCAAAAT